CTGGGCTCCGGCGATCCTTCTGCCTCAGCCTTCCGAGTAGCCGGAATTACAGGCACGCGTCATCATGCCCAGCTGATTTTTTTATTTATTGTAGAGATGAGGTCTCGCCAAATTGCCCAGGCGGGTCTGGAACCCGCAGGCTCAGGCATTTCATTCACCTCAGCCTTTCAAAGCATGGGATTACAGGCTGAGCCACCGAGCCCGGCTGTCAATATATTTTAGAAGAGTTTCTTTTTATTAACATTTAGGGCTATCAAGTGAATCTGAATAATACTCAGGTAGTATGAATAGGAAGAGATGAATGCATTTGCTAAGCTATATAAACATTACTAACTCATTCCTTATGAGGGCTTGTGGAAAGATAAACTAGAATATTTTTCAAGAAAAAATAGCCAACATCCCATCAGTATCAGTCTATGAAAATCACAGACCAAGTGAGGTGCCTCATGCCTGTAATTCCAGCACTTTGGGAGACTGAGGCAGATCACTTGAGGTCAGAATTTTTTTTTTTTTGAGTTGGAGTCTCACTCTGTCACCCAGACTGGAGAGCAGTGGCCGCTACCAGCCACTGCAGCCTCGACCTGCTGGGCTCCGGCGATCCTTCCACCTCAGCCTTCTAAGTAGCTGGAAACTACAGGTGTGTGCCACCATGCCCAGCTAGTTTTTTTTATTTTTTGTAAAAGCAAGGTCTTCCCAAGTTGCCCAGACTGGTCTCAAACCCATGGACTCAGGTCTTCCTCTTACCTCGGCCTCCCAAAGTGCTGAGATTACAGGTTGAACCACCATGCCCAGCAATTGTTTTGCTATCCTTTTTATATCCAACCAGCTAAAACCAAGTGGTTTTTGTTGTTTTACATTAACCCAATTTCAGGGTTTAACTGAAAGTAAGCATAAGTGTCCCACCTATTAATTTCCGTAGGGATCATAATTGCTTTAACACCCAAGGGGTAGACAATTTTTCTTTTCTTTTCTTTACTTTTCTGAGACAGGCTCTCATTCTGTCATCCAGTCTGGACTGAAATGGTGCAATCATAGCTCACTGCAGCCTTGAACACCTGGGCTCAAGCGACCCTCCTGCCTCAGCCTCCTAAGTGGCTGGGACTAGAGGGGTGCACTACCATACTTGGGTATCTTAAAAAATTTTTTGTAGAAATAGGGAGTCTCATTATTGTTGCCCAGGCTGATCTTGAAATTCTGACCTCAGCCGGGCTTGGTGACTCTGACTCAAAAAAAAAAAAAAAAAGAAAAGAAAAGAAAACAATTATTTCTCTTTTGCTAAATGGATTCTCCTAAGGTCAAAAGAAATGTGAGTTAATAGTACATACTAATTCAATCAACCTTTTCTTTTTGTCGTTTCTTCTGTTTATTTTAATGCTTTTTTTTTTTTGAGTTGGATTCTCACTCCTTTGCCCAGGCTGGAGTGCAGTGGCACGCATGTTCATGGCCACCCCAGCATCAACCTGCTGGGCTCCGGCAATCCTTCCACCTCAGCCTTCCAACATTTTATTTTTATTTTGAGTCAAGGTTTCCCTCTGTCACCTAGGTTGGAGTACAGTGGCACAATCATGGCTCACCTCAGCCTCGAGCTCCTGGGTTCTCAGGTGATCCTTCCACCTTAGCTTGGCTAATTTTTAAATTTTTTTTTGTACAGACAAGTATGTTACTTAAGTTGGTCTTGAACTCCTAGACTCAATCGATCTACTTGCATCAGCCTCCCAAAGGGCTGGGATTACAGACACGAGCCACCGTGCCTGGCCTTAATTCATTTTATAGATTAGTCAACATGAAGTGTATCCCAGGCAGGCTTCCCTCTTTTGTCCTGCGCGCTTGCCAATCACTTCTCCTCACAGTTTGAATTCAGAGGGCCCATGGAGTACAAACACTTAGCATGAGATTTAAGAGAATAAGATTTACAGCCGGGCTCGGTGGCTCAGCCTGTAATCCCTCGCCTTTGGGAGGCCGAGGTGAGTGGATTGCTTGAGCCCGCGGGTTCAAGACCCGCCTGGGCAACTTGGCGAGACCTCATCTCTACAATAAATAAAAAATGAGCCGGGTGTGGTAGCACGCGCCTGTAGTTCCAGCTACTTGGAAGGCTGAGGTGGAAGGATCGCTGGGAACCAGCAGGTCGAGGCTGCGGTGGCCGGGAACAGCTACTGTACTCCAGTCTGGGGGACAAAGTGAGACTCCAACTCAAAAAAAAAAGATTTAGGCCGGGTGCAGTGGCTCATGCCTGTAATCCCACCACTTTGGGAGGCAGTGGCAAGAGGACTTCCTTAGTCCAGGGGTTTGAGAGTAGCCTGGACAACTTAGCGAGACCTCATCTCTACAAATAATAATAATAATAAGATACAGAAAGTAGGTTATACCTCAACAAGGGTATCTGCATAATGAACATTTGTATACCTAACCCTGAATTGTATCTTTAAAAGAAAAAAAGAAAGTAGGTTATAATGTTGGAAAAAAGTCACATTATAAACTTTTAAATAAGAAGTAAATTATTTTGGGATATCTGCACCATAGTTCTTCTCTCTTGGCATAGTTAAAGAAGTACTGATATTAAATGAATTGCTTTAGTTCAAATTTAATAATCGGCAAATACTTGCTTCTCCAGTATGTTTTGAGAATCAGAAACTAGATTATAATTTTAAAGAATCATACAAACAAATGTTTTTAAGTAAAATAAAATCTAATAAAAAGGATAGAGTTTTGGTTCATTTAACCAAAGACCAGCTTTTATTTTAATTACAAACTCTTTATTATTTGGCATTTATGCACAAAAAATATATACTTAACTGGATATTTTATAAACTCTAGTAAAGTATTCAAAATACAAAATTATGATTAAAAATAAAACAATTAAGATACATCAAAGAGGCATGTGATTCTATGCCAAATTTACAATCATATATCTAATATGTCACAATCTTTATATTCCAAACAATAGTCACATGAGAACTCTAACGTGGGCAGGTAATTACTAAAAGAAAAAATGATTTTAATTCTGTAGAAAATGACACAGTGCAGAATAAAGATACCAAAGCTTCAGAATGTTATGTTGTTGCTAACAAGATAACAGAGCCTAAGGCTATGAGGAGCTGTCCAAGTGAAATGCTTATATGCATCGTGCCTTCCACGCCTGCACGGGAGAAATGATCTGTCATCCATTTTTGGTAGTAGGACGGACCACTGTAGATACCAGGAAAGTCTCTTCGACCACAGCCATGTCCATAGCTGGTAATTCCCATTACAAAAAACTTTTTATGTTCTGGTAAGTAGCACATTAATGGTCCACCGCTGTCACCCTATCAAAAAAGTCCCAAACTAGTGTAAGTTACTTGTAATATTCTTTAAGCAACAGTACAGCTGGACTAAATTAATTGCATTAAGCATACATTTATATAAATATGCATTTTCAATATATGTCCAAGTGACAAAGAGCTACAGATTTTGAGTTAAACATTTCAAATCAAAGAGAAGTAGGTATTCAGTCTGCCCAGGTGTTTGGAGGAACCACACAGCTGGTGGATAAGCTTCTCATTTGCACAGTTTTGAACCAGAAGGCTATAAATCAAATTGTTTGGATTTTTAAATACAATCACGCAGGAGAAATATGTGTGAAAAATATTGCAGAAACTGTCTACTAGAATATCTTCCTTAATACTGTGTGTGAAAGGCATAACTTTAAGATGTGCATATACATATATACATATATATATATATATTTTTTTTTTTTTTTTGAGTCGGAGTCTCTGTTGCTCTGGCTGGAGTGCAGTGGCATGCTCACAGCCACCGCAGCCTTGACCCACTGGGCACAGGTACTCCTTCGGTCTCAGCCTTCCAAGTAGCTGAAACTGTAGGAGTGTGCTACCACATCTGGCTAATTTTTTTTTTTTTTGTAGACCTTCGGTCTCAGCCTTCCAAGTAGCTGAAACTGTAGGAGCATGCTACCCACATCTGGCTAATTTTTTTTTTTCTAGAGATGAGGTCTTGCCAAGTAGCCCAGGCTGATCTCGAACCCCTGGGCTCAGGCAATCCTCTTGCCTTCGCCTCCCAAAATGCCGGGGATTATAAGCGTGAGCCACTGCACCAGGCTATGTGTGTGTGGATTGTTAGCCAGAGGAGATAAGTAAACTGGCATCTTGCAAGAGGTGGCATCTTTCGAATGCTGACGTTGGCTAGTGAGCAAATGGGAATAGACAGTGAAGACTCTCTATGACGGGTCTCTTTCATAGTCTATACAAGACTATTAACGCACTCAAACACTGTTATGAAAGCCTGTAAATACACTTAAAACAACCAGGACACTGAGATAACTCTGTTTCTAAAGTGTTTTCAATTCTCTACATAAGGTGGTATCGAATACTTATTTTTTGATGTGAAGATGTTTCATCTAAAAATGAAATGCAGTTAGATTGGATTCTTTACTATATTACTCAGCAAGATTTGTGTGTGTGTGTGTGTGTGTGTGTGTGTGTGTGTGTGTGTTGAAGTCTTACTCTGTCCCCCAGGCTGGAGTACAGCCACACACCCACAGCTACCACAGCCTCAACCTGCTGAGTACAGGCAATCCTTCTGCCTCAGTCTTCCAAGTAGCTGGAACTATAGGCATGTCACCATACTTAGCTAATTTTTTAAATTTATTGTAGAGACAAGGTTTCACTGAGTTCCCCAGACTTATCGCCAACCCCTGCGCTCAGGCAATCCTCTCGCCTTGGCTTCCCAAAGTGCTGGGATTACAGGTGTGAGCCACCATACCCAGCTACTCAGCAAGATTTTTAAGGAAAAGGTCACAGGAAAGATAGACCTTGAGTTGCAGAAATGGGAATGAGTAGGGAAAGATGAGAACATAGGGTACTTTTGGGAGTGAAGGCAGGTAGATTTGGAAGTAGTGAAGAAAAGAGGGATACAGAAAGAGTCAGAAAGTACAAGAGACAAAACAAAAAACAGATCAACAGGACTTTATAAGAGTTAAAAACCTGTGCTGCAAACAACAACATCAGAAAAGACAGTCCACAGGCTGGGAGAAAATACTGGCACATTACGTGTCTAGTAATGCATTTGTATCCAGAATATGTGACAAGTGTTTGCAACTCAATGATAAAAAGATAAATCATTAAGCTTAAAAAGGGGCAAAGGATCCAGATAGACATTCTCTAAAGGAGTCATACAGATGGCTAATAAGTAAACGCAAAGATGTTCAACGTCATTAGTCACTGAGGAAATGCAAATTAAAACCACAAGCGGATCACCACTTCACACTCATGGGATAGCAATAATAAAAAAGGCAGACGAGAGGATTGTCTGAGCCCAGGGGTTCAAGATCAACCTGGGCAACTTGGTGAGGCCTCATCGCTAGAATAAATCACAAAAACTAGCCAGGCATGGTGGCGTGCGTCTGTAGTTCCAGTTACTTGGAAGGCTGAGGTGGAAGGATCGCCGGAACCTAGCAGGTCGAGGCTGTGGTGGCCATGAGTGTGCCACTGCAATCTAGCCTGGGTGACAAGAGTGAGACTCCAACTCAAAAAAAAAAAAAAGGCAGACAACAGCAAGTACTGACAGGATATAGAGAAACTGGACTCTCATACATTGCTTGAGGGAATGTTAAATGGCTCAGCCACTTTGGAATACATTCTGTTAAACATCGGCCTAGTAACTCCACTCTTAGGAGGAATTTCTAAGAGAAATGGAGACATAGCTACACAAAAAAATATATATACACAAATGTTTATCACAATATTATTCATAACAGCCAAAAAATACTAACAGCCTAATTATCCATTAATTAATAAGATGAATAAAATGTGATATAGTCATGAAAAACTATATTATTTGTCAATAAAATTAATAAAATACTGACATGTTTCTACAACATGGATGACCCTTGAAAACTTACAAAGTGAAAGAAGAGGGTCGCAAGAGACCACATATTGAATTATTCCAGAAATATCCAACTTAGGCAATGTCTAGACTAGGCAACTCTGTAGAGATTAGAGGCTGCCTAGGGCTAGGCGTGTGTGGGAGGAGAATGAGGGATGATGGGTATGGGCTTCTTTTTGTGGTGGTGATAAAAATGTTCTAAAATTAGATTGTGGTTATGGTGGCATAACTCTGTAAATACACTAAAAACAAAAACAAAAACAAAAAACCCAGGCTAGGAGTGGTGGCTCACACCTCCCAACAATTTGGGAGGCTGAGGCAGGAGGATCACTTGATCAGGAGTTCAAGACATTCTGGGCAATACAGTGAGACCTTATCTCTACAACAAAGAGAAAAAGAAAGAAATTAGCTGGGTATAATGGCACGTGCCTGTAGTCCTAACTACTTGGAGGTTGAGACAGGAGGATTACCTGAGTCCAGGAGTTCAAGACTGCAGTAAGCCATGATCATGCCACTGCACTCCAGTGTGGGTGACAGAGTGGAACCCTAACTCAAAAAAAAAAAAATCTTATATACTTTTCCCAATACTTTGGGAGGCCAAGATGGGAGAATCACTTGAGGCCAGGAGTTCAAGACCAGCCTGGGCAACATAGCAAAACCTTGTCACTACAAAAAATTATTATTATTATTATTATTATACACTTTAAATAGGTGAATTAGGCTGAGTGTGGTAGCTCACACCTATAATCCCAGCACTTTGAGAGGCCAAGGTGAGTGGATTGCCTGAGCATAGGTGTTTGAGACCACCCTGGGCAACTTGGTGAGACCTCTTCTCTGCAATAAATTAAAAAATTAGTTGGGCATGGTGGTGTGCTCCTGTAGTTCCAGCTACTTGGAAGACCGAGGAAGAAGAATTGCTTGAGCCCAGCAGGTTGAGGCATCAGTAGCCATGATCTTGCCACTGCACTCCAGCCTCGGTGACAGAGACTCCAACTCAAAAAAAAAAAAAAAAACAACTCAGCCGGGCTCAGTGGCTCAGTCTGTAATCCCGTGCTTTGGGAGGCTGAGGTGAGTGAATTGCCTGAACCCGCGGGTTCGAGACCCGCCTGGGCAACTTGGCAAGATCTCATCTCTACAAAAAATTAAAAAAAAAAAGTAGCCAGGCGTGGTAGCGCGCGCCTGTAGTTCCAGCTACTTGGAAGGCTGACGCGGGAGGATCGCCGGAGCCCAGCAGGTCGAGGCTGCAGTGGTCGGGAGCGGCCACTGCACTCCGTCTGGGCAACAGAGTGGGAATCCAACTCAAAAAAAAAAAGAAAGAAAGACAGGAATAAATTGTGGGATTTTTCTTTGGATACAGAGAAGGAAGTACTAGAATTAAAAATATGAAGTAATGCTGGGCTCAGTAGCTCAGCCTGTAATCCCGCACTTTTGGGAGGCTGAGGTGAGTGGATTGCCTGAGCCCACGGGTTCGAGACCCACCTGGGCAGAGAGACCTCATCTCTACAATAAATCAAAAAATCAGCTGGGCATGGAAGCGCATGCCTGTAATTCCAGCTACTTGGAAGGGTGA